GTGGCGCCCGGCCCCCCCGCCCCGTCCCTCCCACATCAGGGGGCCCGTGTACTGCTGTCAATCTCGCCTGTTGGGCAGGCCGGGGGTGGAGGCCAGCAAGCCAGAGGCGCTGCAGTGGGAACCGTTCTCGACCGGCTCCTCCCATCCTGGGGCCCTGGGGGTTCTGTGTGACGGGTGCAAAGCCAGCATCACGCATGCGCTCACATGCAATGAACACACACACGCACTCCCATGCATGAACACACAGTCACATGCCTGAACACACACCCTCACGTGTATGGTCACACTCACACACCTTCACATGCATGGACTCACACATACACTCACATTCATGAACGCATACATACATGTATGAACATACACTCACTCACGCACGCATGTATGACCACACACGCTCACATGTATGAACGAACAGTCACATGTATGAATACACACACTTGTGTATGAACACACACACACGAGAAGTGACTCGCCCGAGGTCACACAGCTGTTGTCAGCAAGCAGTCAGTTACAGCGCTGCCAGGAGCCGAGGGGGGTCGTATTGGGTGCTGATTTCTGTCCTGTTTCCACTGACAGCTGCAGGCGCAGGGCCGAGGGTCTGCTCTCTGACCATTGGTGGCTCTTGAAGCTCCCGGAGCAGTGTTGGCCCCGGTGGGGAAACTGAGTCACAGAATTGCAGCACCGCGGACAGAAGACAGCAAGCATGCTGACCCTGCCCCAGCCCCGTGCTCTGGGCCTGACACACAACTGCCTTTCTGCAGTAGGGTCCATAGTGTTGACTTCTGTGGGCTTCGGCCCAGGGATGTAAAATCCCATTTAATTGGTTAACTGGTTAATGGACTGGAGTGGCCCCAACTAGTTAAGGTTAACCAGTTAACCAGTGACATCCCTACTTCGGACCCGGCCTCTACGCTGGTGTTTTCCATGGCCGGAAAGGCACCGAGCTCTGCCGTGTCTGGAAATCTCGTCACGTAGTCAAAATACAAGCAGGAGGAGGAACGGTTTTATGTTAAGTGTCTCCTGGCACCTCGTGAATGTGTGAGCCTACGTGTAAACACACACACACACACACACACACCGGTTGTTACTCCAGGTGATCCGTACTGGCTCTGCAGCTTGGAAGTCGAATCAGGTCCCGTCCCCCCCCCGCCCACCTGCCTTCGCCTTGCTGATGCTGGCAAGAGAATATCTATTTGCGGTAAGGTTCCTCTGTAGGGCCTTCAAATTAATTAGCAGAGAAAACCCATTCAGTGTGGGGAGAGGTCAGGATCGTTCCCAGCGCGTCCGCGCATTGTACCCAGGAGTCTTCGTCAAGCGAGCGGGCCAATGAAGTCGCCGCCGCGAGTTATTTTAAATGTCCCCAGAAGACGAGCGTGGGTTTGGAAGGTGGCAAACGGAGCCGGCTGCTCTTAGGGGACGGTGGAGCATCATGGGCTAAATTGGGAATTGCCAGTGTACTGTGGAGTCGCTTCCCAGCTCCGCTAATCCCTTAATCTCTCAGATAATCAGCGCCCAAACCCCTAAATTACAATAGGATTGCAGCACACATCTGCAGGAATACCAAAAGGGTTTGATGGTATCACACGCGTCTCCTCTTCTTTTTTCTTTTGCTGCTTATTACCAAGTGTTGCCGGTTTGTTTATCTTAAAACAATGCGGCGTCGACTGTAATCTTGCACGGTGAAGGTGGCGTGGGAATGTTTGACGGGTGCGCCGCGCGGAGGACCTGTGCATCAGGATTCCCGGACTCTGCCCCTGGTTTTGGAAGGGGAGAGCGGTCTAGTGGTTAAAGGAAGCGAGGAGAGAGACTCAGAAATCCTGCAGTGACTGGAGGGCAGAGGAAATACAAAGGCTCAGACTCAAAGCTGGGCTGGCGAGAGGCTGCTCTCAGTGGGGGCAGATGGCAGAACGAGGAGCGATGGTTTCAAGTTGCAGTGGGGGAGATCTAGGTTGGAGAGTAGGAAAAACAATTTCCCTGGGCGGGTGGGGAAGCGCTGGGTTGGGTTCCCCGGGGAGGGGGTGGAGTCTCCATCCCTGGAGGATTTTAATTTCCGATTTGACCAAGCCCAGGTTGGGCTGATTGAGTTGGGTTGGTCCTGCTTTGGGCAGGGGGCTGGACTCGATGCCTCCTGGGACTCTATGAGTCTATGACACCCGAGTCTTCTTCCTGGCTCTGCAGCATTGGCCGTGTGACTTACCCTAGAAACCTGCCAGGGCTGGGTGCTGGCGGCTCACAAGGCCAAGCGGGTCCATCCGGAGCCGTGTTGCTGTGGGCACCTTGCAGAGCTGTCCTGCCCGGGCTGGCCGCTGCCCTTCCCTGGATCGCCCGCCTCTCACCCCGGCTCTCTCCTTCCGCTCCCCGCAGGTTCCATCAGGGGGACTACACGGTGGAAGTCAGCATCAACGACTACCTGGACATCTACTGCCCGCACTATGAGGAGCCCCTCCCGGCGGACCGCATGGAGCGCTACATCCTGTACATGGTGAACGGCGAGGGCCACGCCTCCTGCGACCACCGGCAGAAAGGCTTCAAGCGGTGGGAGTGCAACAGGCCCGACTCTCCCAACGGGCCCCTGAAGTTCTCGGAGAAGTTCCAGCTCTTCACGCCCTTCTCCCTCGGGTTCGAGTTCCGGCCGGGCCACGAGTATTACTACATCTGTGAGTAGCGCGCGCCGCAGGCTGGCGGCCCCCGGGGTCCTGGATCTGTGACCGTGGGGGGTTGGGAGGGTAGTTCTCATGGAGAGCGAGTGCACTGGCGTGGTGCAAGCATGTGGTGATGAGCCGGTGGGTGGGGCTGTGCAACACTGCCCCCTGCTGGATAGAATCAGAACCGTTCGGCTGTGTGTCATATCCCTCATACTGATAGAAGCGCTAATGGCCGGGGGCTGTGATCAGAACGGCCAGCCTGGGTCAGACCAAAGGTCTAACTCGCCTGCCCTCCTGTCTGCCCACAGCGGCCAACACCAGCGGCCCCAGAGGGAGCAAACGGAACAGGGATTCATCCTGGAATCTCTCCCGTCACCCATTCCCAGCCATTTTGGAAGAGGACAATTCAGGCTTTCTCGCGGCTGCCCATGTGATGTTTCAGAAGGGGTGGGGCATTAGGCAGAAGGGGGCGGGGCATCAGACAGAGGGGGTGGGGCATCAGACAGAAGGGGCGGGGGATCAGACAGAGGGGGCGGGGCATCCCCCCGCCCTT